CTCTCTTTCTCTCGCTCTCCTCTTTCTCTCCCCTCTCTCCTCTCTCTCTCTTTCTCCACCCCCACCTCGCTCCGCACAGCTGGCCCAGAGAAAGAACCAAGAGCTGTAAAAAGATTCGGATGCTTCGCAAAGTTTACCAGATCTCCCAAACCCTCTTAAGGTTTTGAAGCAGAAAAAAAAAAGTGATTTTCCCCCTTGACTCGCTCCTTCCTGCTCCCCTCCTTCCTCTCCTCCTCTCCCAGAACTCCTTCCTCCCTCCCCAGCCCCTCCTTTTCACTCACTAGAGATGCCACTCACTGGCTAGAGGCTATTCGACCTGGAGAAGCCTCAGGGCCTTTGGATTTTAGGCTAGGGTGGGGAGGTGCAGCGACCCCCAGGGCTTCCGAAGCTGGGCTGAGAATTGACGAGCGGTCTCATCTAGGGCCTAGAGTAAGGGGAATGAAAATTTTATTGACAGGTTAAAAAGAACTGTAAGAGGTTTTGACTTTCGGAGTCAGATGAGCCGCTGGTCTGGCGAATCCTTTGAATGCTTCTAGGTGAACTTGGCGGCACAGCAGGCCGGGACCTTAGCCTGGGTTTTCAATCCCGCCTTCCCATTCCCGCTTCCCCATTCCCGATTCTTCCCAGTAATTCACACACAACAGATCTCATAGTGGTCCGGAGACGGCCCTTTTTACATCTTAACTATTTCCCTCCCCTGTAAGGGTTCTGGGACCGGTTGCTGTGAGGTCTGTGTTGGTTCAGTCACTCGGGGACCCTACACTAACCTGGCTTCTAGAGCTGAGCACCTAGGCTCCCAGCCCTCCAACCTCTTACTTGCCAGGGTGGGGGTGGGTGGGGGGTGGCCCTCAAAGTCAGGTTGAGGGTAGGGCCTTAAGAGACATCCTTCCCGCCCAGCCTTGCAGGATAAACTGTCTCTGTCATCCGTTGAGTGAAATCAGTATTTCTCTCTTCACTGTGCCCACCCACCACCCCCATTGTGAAACAAAAGGCTCAGATTTTGTTGATTTTGAAACAGGGTCTCACGGGTTAGTTCAGGCTGGCCTGGAACTCAGGGTCCTGTTTCTGCCCCCAGAGTGCTGGGACGGCAGGCATGCACAACCACACCCACAGCATGGATTTATGTGGACACCTGGACCTGCATAGAGCAAGGGGAAGGAACTTTCACAGCCTGCCAGGCTCCTGGGCTGGACTGAACGTGGGTTGTACCTCACAACCAGCAGAGATTGGATGCTCTTAGGTGCAGACACACGGTCAAAGGACCACTGAGACGTCAACATGTCCTCCTCAGAGCCCCTGAAGAAACAGTCTCCATAGACTTGGGAAGTTGAAGCAAATGTCAACAATGGAGACCTCAAAAGTTAACTGCCTTTCAGCTGCAGAAAAGCTCAGACAGATTCTTTAGAGCATCCCTCCTTAAACTGCAGGAGAAATCTGAGGGTGGAAGACTTGCCTCAAGGGGAGTCTGGAGCAGGCTGGGGTGGGGAGACCCTGAATGCTCAGAGCCCAAGGATGGGATGGATGCCTACTCTCTGCACTTGAAGCACCCAGAGAAAAAGTATAGGAGACTTGCATCTACCTCCAACTCCACCTATCCTTGCTCTCAACTCCACCCTACCCCTTGTTATCTCTGGTCCTTACTTGATGCAGACTGCACGATCCCACATCTGGTTTTCATCGCTGGCTTACCTTGAAGTGCTCGTTAATAAAGATATTCCTCAGAGCCAGGGGCGCTGGACCACTGTGGCACCCATCCCCCCACGGCTGGTCAGAAACCCGTGTCTGTCTGTCTCTTTCTCTGGCCAGCGGATCTTAACCACCAGAGAGTCTCATGTTTATCGAATGTCTATTTTGCCAGAAGCCACATCAGTTTGGCCTCACATGCTTGTCTTAGCATACCTGTTTTGCTATGGGTAGACTGAGTCCCTCAATCCACATCATTGTTCAGTCTCAGATGGCAAAAGGGTGGATAAGTGTGCCCTTGCCCTGAATGTTCCTGTTTGGTCAAAGTTTCCTCCCATCCTAGAGCTTCTGGAGCCCTCCCCCCTGGGCATCTCAGGACAGGTGGTGGCTCATCTCCTATCACCCCTGTGATTTTGTCTGACTCATGATTTGGAGCTCATCCCCGAACCCCATGCCCTCTCATCCAAGTGTTATAAACCCACCGGCCTCCTTACCATTCCAGACCTCAGGGGTGGTTGAGCACTCTTTGTGCTCATAGCTCAAGTAGTTGGTGCTTCCTGAAGAGTATTAGCGTGTGTGTGTGGGGGGGGGCTGAAGAACTCTCATCACTCTATTCCTTCCAGCATTCCTGCACAGCGGCAGCCTAGGAGCCCATGATTTCCTTTAGTCCAGGACAACTAGTTGCCTGCTCGGGTCCTCTTCCAAAATCAAGTGTCAAAAATTAATAGCACGACTGCCTCTTCTGGGCTGTACACTTCCCTCTCTCCGTCCTCCAGCCCCAGAACAGTAAGTTCTCTTAAAACAGGGACCAGGCCTGTCTTGCACACCACAGGTCTTGGCACAGCACAACCACAGCACAACTCCTCATAAACCGTGTGTTGAACGAATGAATGAAATCGTCATGCAGTTCCCCCGGGGTGTAAAGACTCATGTTTTGTCCAGGAGTTTCAAGCAAGTAGGAGTGACTGCAGTCCCTGGAGCCTAGAAGCTGCCCTCAGGCATCCAGATGCGGACTGCCATCTTCCCACTCCTTCTATCCACTTCCTGGCTCAGGAGGGGGAGGGCTGTGACAAGGAGTTACAAGAGTGGGGTGGGGGCCAGTGGCGATTACACAACGTTCCTGCCTCCCTGGGACCCTGGAGTACTCACCACGCATCCCACTGAGCTGACCCTCACCACCACAGGCCACCTGCTTAATTACTGCCTAATTCAGCCTTTTCCCTGAGCACGCTGGTTGTGGCACGTAATGGGAGTCTCCTACTGAGGGCCTTCAACGGTCTGAATCAGAGCTGAATCCTACTGAGGGCCTTCAGAATCAGAGCTTATGGATGTTCAAGGAGGCTGAGCCTGTGAGCCAGTGAGGATGTGGCTGTGAGTTTGTCTGCAATGTGCAATGATGTTTGGTCCTTTGATGGTGCCACCAGTAACCTTCCCGAAAACCGCCAGGGATCTCCTCATTTGGATTTCCCCTTTTCGCGTACCTTATCAGGAAGAATGCTCTCAAGCGCCCATTTGAACATCTAGTCATCTTGTCTGTCCCAACGGAAAGCCGGACCTGAGCTCCATCACCATTACTATCAAGGCACCCTTATAGCCTTCTGGTCATGGAAAAGCCACTGAGGCTGGCTCTGGCTCTATCTAGCCTCCGCTGCGGGATGCAGTATTTCTCTCACAGATGGGACCCCTGCCCCGTTGCTCTGTAGATCTCCTGAAGTCCCTTAACATGCCAGGTTGTGTTTCTTTCTTCTCCTCTCTTCTCCTCTCCTCTCTTCTCCTCTCCTTTCTTCTCCTCTCCTCTCCTCTCCTCTCCTCTCCTCTCCTCTCCTCTCCTCTCTTCTTTTCTCTTCTCTTCTCTCTTTTCCTCTCTTCTCCTCTCCTTTCTTCTCTTCTCTTCTCTTCTCTTCTCTTCTCTTCTCTTCTCTTCTCTTCTCTTCTCTCTTTTCCTCTCTTCTACTTTCCTCTCTTCTCTCCTCTCTTCTCTTCTTCCTTTCTTTCCTTCCTTTTTTCTGCAACAGGAGGGACTGTACAGGCCAGTGTTTGAGGTCTTTACTTCCCTAGCACACACCCCAGCTGCTCATCCCCCCCCCCCAGGTAGTCACACAGGAAGCCTCTTGCTCTTTCCTAGGGCAGGAGGCACTGTGGCACTGTGCATGGAGGGGGGAAGGAGGGGGGGGGGAGACCGGACAGGCAATCTTTCTCCCTCCTGGAAAGCTCCTGACATGATTTCCCCCGTGCATGGATTGTTTGTTTCTTTGTTTGTTGTCTGTCCTTCCACTAGAATGGGAGTCCAAGGCCACTGTCTCCTCTGTGCTGAGTGTGGCACAGGGCACACAGGGCTGCTATTGAATGACCACTGAACAAATGAACAGATGCAGAGAGGGGCTGGAGGACGACTGTCGGGTTGTTGCTCAGGGTTAGAGCTCTTGAGGCAAAACTGGGCTCGGAGAGAACCGAGTTGGTTAGAAGTTCCCTGATCCAGGAAAAGCACAGCAGACTTTCCCACCTTTGAAAGGGAAGAGCAGATTCTTCGCCATTTGGGGCCAGGCTGCTACCATTTCCTCAATCTCCCACTGTTCTCCTGGCTTGCCCAGTCAGACCATGGAGCTGTGAGAGGGATGTGGCAGCTACTCGCAAGCCAGGTGAAGTCACCTGACTGTCACAAGCCTCAGCTTCCATCTAGGCCAAAGGAAACTTCCCGACTTGGTGGAAATTGCTGCTCTGTGAACTGCGGGGGAATCTCGGAAGTGTCTCAGAATTTGAGGGCAACGGAAGGACATTTTGGACACTCAGGTGGCAGTAGGTATTAAGATACATAGCCCGGTGGTCAAGGGTCTTAGGACTCTTGAAGACTGTTTTTTTGGCACCCAAACCCCAGACAATCGACGTAGCAACAACAGCCAACGCGCGGTCTCCGGTCCTCTCCATTAACATCTCTGCATTCCTCACAGCGCAGAGGAGCGAGGTGTGCAATCGCTCAAGCCTAGGATTTTGGATTTGAGTTTGGGATTCCAGCACCGGGGCTGAACTGTTCTCAACTGCTCACTGCGCGTTCTCAGCGATTTCTGGAGGTGAACAGGTGAGGGTAGGCCAGACAGAAAGGCTCCGGTTCTCCCACACCCTCGGGACTCTA